GGGAAGGGAAGGGAAGGGAAGGGAAGGGAAGGGAAGGGAAGGGAAGGGAAGGGAGAAGAAAAGACGGAAAGAGAGGGAAAGATGGAAAGAGGAAAGAGCAGGGAAAACAAGTGGAGCCAGTGGACTACCAGAGGCTTTGGGGGCTTTATAAGGAGAGCAATGACATCAGGCCCCTTCTGAGATGGGAAAACTGAGGCACAGCAAGGAGTTGCTTGTCCTAGTGCAAGCTCCGAAGGGAGCACTGCACATTCCCTCCTCCAGTGCTCCAGCAGCCAGGCTGCATTGCTATAAATGATAAAAACCAGCAGCTTTGCAGCTAGAAGAGGTTGCGGCACCTCTGCCCAGCACAGGTCCTTCATTACCACGATGAAGTAGTGAGCTTTCTGGGTGCTGTGCCCAGCACCATCACCAAAATGCATTTCGCAGACCTTGTAAATCTTTTGTTCAGCAGAAAAAGGAAACGAAATCTTCTGGGGGAGGTGAAGGGACCCCAGAGCAGTGGTTGCACGATGGCCAGGACAGGGGAGGACGGAGGACAGGACTCAGCCAAGCGATGCTTTAACGCTCCAGACTTCCCTCCAGTCCCTGGGTCCACTTTCCCACCCTCATCCCTCAATTTCTCCAGCGTTTATATCTCTATTCGCACACCTGAAACCATCAGCAGCCCAGTCCCGTGTCCTGGCCCAAAACCCCTGCCCCAGACATGCCCCGTCTCTGGATGCTGCAGCTCCCACCGCATCCCCCCGTGGGCATGGATGTTTGGGAATGGGCATGGACGCGTGGGAATGGGCATGAAATATTTATGTACTGTTCTCAGTTCAGCCTCAATATCCCAGCTCTGCAGCCGAAAGCCACGGAGACAAACCCCACAGGTGGGGTCTCCCGAGCAGATTCTCTCCCAGGGTGCTGAGCCACCACATCCCTGCCGGGTTTTGGGAGCTGTGGGGTCGGGGTGTGCTCCTTGGTGTCTCAGCACTTCTGCCAGAAAACCCAAAAGCTTTACGGAGCTCAGCGTGCCCATTTTGCAGCATCTCCCCAGAAAGCCAGGGAACAGAAGGGTGAACTCTGACAGCCGTTGCCGATGCCTCCGATTAAAATACACCAGTCTGAACACGAGCAAAACTCATGTGAGTAAAACCCAGCTGGCAAGGGAAGGATTAGATATGACTGAATAGGTGGGTTTTTTAAATATTTAATTACATCGTTTCCTTGCTCAGGCTTTGAACGTGCTCTCCTCTGCTCTGCTGATGGGGTCGGCCCCTCCATCCTTGAGCTCAGCTCCTCTGCGTGGAGCTTGCATCTTGGCGGAGCGGTGCCCTTAAGCATCACACGCTTTCAGAGGGAATTAGGAATAATTGCAGTGGTTCTTTATGGTGTTTACAAGGCAAACAGTAGCAAGCTAAGGAAATGTCAGGGTCCAAAAGCACGGTTATGTACATAGGCTCTCCTGGGGCTGGCTGCAGCAGAAATAGTGAATATTGGCTGGTATCCTGGCTGCTCAGGTCTTTTAATGCCTGGCCTCCTACTGTCTGCCCTTTCCCCCCTCCCAAGGTGCACGCAACACATCCCGACTGCTCCATCGTCCTCTATTTCCAAGAACGAGAAGCTGAATGTCTGGAGATTATCAGGAGCGAAAGCCAAACGCCAGCCTCCCCTGGATCCCCCGGGCAGCACGGTGAGTGTGAGCTGCCCGCTGTGCAGGGGGCTCCTCTGCCTCGGGAGGGCTTGCTAAGGGGGGTCTTTGGGGGATGATCCATGGTAGGGGGGTTGCAGAGCGCACACAGATGCAGCAAAGCAGGTATTTTCAGGAGAAAGGAGAGCAGCGCTGAGGCAAAGGCTAAGCAGCATCCCTGGAGAGCCCCAAAACTGCTGCTGCAGGGGGAGAGGGGGGCTGAGATTGCAGCCAGGGGGTACGGGCGGGCTACGGGATGCACACAAGCGCAGGGGCTGAGTCCCCCCAGATTTATAGCATATGGCGGTGACGGCGTGGTCACACCTCGAGCAGAGCCTCCTGCCCCACTCCCGTCCTCCCAGGCAGGGCTGCGGGCTCGGGCGATGCAGAGCCCTGGCCATCAGCACAAGCGTCGCACGGCGCGTGTCACCGCTTCATGGCTTCTTGCCTTCCTAATTCAGTTAGTTTTCATGCTAAACATGTTTTGAGCAGCTTAATTTTTACATACCCAGGACTTTTCAACCAATTAACTAATTGGAAAACAGTTTTAAAGGGTTGCTTTTGTACTTTTTTTTTTTTAACTGCATTTCAATTTCCATCCAAAAGCAGCTTGGCTCAAATTCTGGGTAAAAATTATCACCTAGCGAATCAGAAATGCGTCATTCAATGAGTTTCATCTAATACAAATGTAAAAAAGAAGCATCTCAATAAATGCATGTTAAGGTGCCTAATTGCTTAAGTAACTGTGCAGGTGTGTAACGTATCACCCAGCTCAGCAGACAAAAGCCAAGCTAATCGAAAAGGTCCATTTTGCAGCCCAGATTGTGCCAGCCAGAGGGAAGGAATCTCACTGTAGGAAAATAACCAAGAAGCACGAATGCATAATTAAAATCAGTACTTAATCCCAGGTTTCCTGCTTGCCTGCCGCCTCCGCTGCTCACCTGGACTGAATTTATCCCTTCCCCTTTGCTTGCTTGTGCCAGCGCGGGAGGGTCCTGCTGCGAGCGTGGCACGGAGTGACGATGGAGGGGAAGGCGCAGATGCCCTGGACATGGTGGCAATACAGCGTGGAGGAGCAGGGCAGAGCCCTCAGGCTTCAGCATCCTTCTGGGGAACCCACCACGGGGCCCTACAACTCGTCAGAGATCTCGCTTGCAGTGCTTTCGCCTCAAAGGCTGCTCCAGTGCTTGCAGCATTTACTGCTCTGAAATAGCTGGGAAGAAGTAACCTGCTGGTGAGGCTCAGATGATCTCTTTTGGAGGTCTCCAGATACCAGCTGGAGCAGCAAGAAATAGGGAGACAGCCCTGGCAGGTCTACGTATAATTAACCAGTAGAAATACAGAGCAGGAACTTCCCATCAAATTGCATTTTTGGGGAAAAAAATGCCCTTTTGGCCACAACAAGAACATCATGAGGGTAATGTTGACCTTGTGGATGTTTCAACCTTCAGCTGGAAAAATTGGAATGAAGCAGGTTGGTTTGGGTCAATCCAAACCAAACACCTCAGGCTGCTGGTCTACACTGGCTGAGAGCCCAGGGACAGGGGACAGGGCAAGGATGTGGTGGCCCCTGGGGATACTGAAGGCACAGCTTCTGCCCACGAGGCTGGCAGTGAGACACATTGCCAGGTCCTTTGCTCAGGTTTTTTTGCCCTCTTCCCCTCAAAGATGCCTCCATCACCTCTGCTCCATGGGAGAGTTGATCCAGTTTTGCACAGCTCTAAGAAATGTGATTTTTTTAGATGCTGCAGCAGCCCAGGAGAGGGAAACAGAGGGAAGGGGGACTTAAACCTTTTCTCCCCAACCGAAAGGAGGGGTGACTTTATTCCTCGGGAATGCACTGCAGAGCTGTGGGTCCCAGCTCGATCCCTGTGCCATGGGCTGCTCCTCTGGCTCCCAACCAAGTGGTCCCGCAGCACTCACCGTGCTGGGAGAGCTCGTTTGTAGAGCGAGAGACGCAATTACACACAGCGGGATGGCTCTGCCACACAGACACACCCAGGTATTTTGATCACACACCAAGAAATGAAGCAACCACTCTCAGCACCGGTCCCGACAGCTCTGCTCAGTTCATCTGTCTTCCAAAGCAAAAATGAAGACGTACCTTGGTGTTGTAACGACAGCCCTGCAGATCCCTCCAAGCCTGGCCAGATACCCACGCACTGCTTTGCTGAGAGCAGAGAAAACTAATTAGACTTGTCAGAGTCCACATTCCCTGGCTGGGAACAGATGTGGCTCCGGGTTAATAATGTATATCTACAAGGTTAATAATGTGCATGTGCAAGGAGGAGAGCTGTCCTGGAAGTGTGATGTCTATGTCTCATCCCGGTGTGCTGCAGCACGAATTCTTCAAGGCCGCGTGTCTGCTGGGCCGTGCTCGTTTCCAAGGCAATTGGAGAGTCATTTAAAGATGAACTTAATGCTAGAGAGACAAGTAAAACACGTTTAAGCAAACTGGTCTCCAGCAAGTCTTGCAGTGCTTTCTCCTGTCCTCCTCCTTCGGGCTGGAGAAACATTCTGAGCTGAGCCACCATGGCTGCTGGGTGCCAAAATCCAGCAGAAAACTGCATTATTTAAGATGCCACCAGGAAAGTCCTGGCCTTTCCCACCCCCTCGTCCCCCAGGGTCTCCCCGCAGGAGCGCTGGGTCTGCTGTAACCCCAAGAAATAGCAGGTCCCGTCTCGCCGCGGGGCTAAAAGGAGATCTCAGCACTGGAGGAGGTCATTTCCAGAACTGAGCTGGGATGCTCCTAATTCCTGAGGGGGTACGGCATGGCCCCATAGATCGGGTG